GAGGCCCCTGGGAGCTTCTGCACCGCCCTCAGCCAGATACACTGGCCAGACCCACTCATGCTTGGATGGACCTGGTACACTAGAGGCAGCCTGGTGTCAGGGAGGGCACACAGGTTTTGGAGCGGGCAGTCCTGGATTCAGGTGGTGTGACCTTGAACAAGTCACTTCCTAAGCCTCAGATTCCTCATCTGCAAAATGAGAATAATGATAACCGTGCCTGCCATGTGTGGTGGTGGGAAGATGAATGAGAGCGTATAAAGCACCGAGCTGCCGGGACATACGTGCTCATCACCGTTGTTACATCAGGCAATAAGAACTCCTTGTCGGCTTGATTTCTTGAGGGAAAATAAGGGGAAAATGCCTCCTAGCCCCACACATAGGTCCCACCGAGGTCTTTATTCTTAGATGTGCAACGAGAGGCACCTCTGAAATTTAGAGTGTCCCTTAAACATGAAATCAAATCTGGGGTGATTATGATTTCTTAGTATTTCATCTCTGGTAGCTTCCAGAGCTTGGCCCTGGTGTATGTCATTTTGGATAAGAGAACCGGAGCGATTAGAGGTATTTCTAGAGTCCTCTGTGTGCCAGACACTGTGCTGGGCCTCTGGAGAAGAGAGGATGAGAGGTATGATCCCGCTCTTGAGGAGAAATGTGGCGTTCAGTCCCCAGGAGTCCGCCAGTCTGCCGGGGCTGTTGGCACCAAGGGCCTCCTCAAGCTGGGAGGATCAAAGTCCTCATGTTGCACCTGTGTTTTCTCTTACTCGAAATACCTTTTCAGCAAGGAAAATGGGTCCAGAACTACCAACCTTGGGGTTGGTAGTGGTGCCCACTTACCGAGCCCTGGCTTACCGATACCGAGTCCAGGTGCTTACTAAGCACTTGGCATGGCTGTCTTTTCTCTCAGCAACCTGTGAGGTAGGGGTTGCTGGCTCCCTTTCACACACAAGGTACCCGGGTTGGAGAGCTTAGGTGAGCCGCCCCAGGTCCCGCAGCTAGGACAAGGTGGAACCAGGGCCTGAACTCAGCCGTCAGGGGCCAGAGCCGTGCTCTTAACCACCATTACACAGCTGCCCAGAAGTCCTGCGTCCACGTGACGCAGCAGTTGTCTTGGACGCGCACAACACTTAGCTTCCGCCATCTTGGACCCTGGAAGGAAGTTTACATCGGTCATTGCCAGAATCCCTGGGAGTGCCAGGAGGGGAGGATGCCCCAGAGCCCTGAGTGTGCTGCCTGCACACTGAGCTCAGAGGGCCCTTCGGCTTTCAGGCCCAGCCCTGATCCAGACGCTTTGCGGTAGGATCAAAGCACGACGTCTGAACCTGAGCTTCAACCTGAGCCACTGGCTGGGCCCCGGCGCGGGGGAAGCAGGGCAGTGCTGAGCGAGCGGCCCGTGGGCCGTGCTGCCCCGATCTCAGGCCTCCGCCGCTCTCACACACGCAGGCTTGTTCCAGGCTCCAGAAGAGAGCCCCAAGCCCCTGGCCCTGGCGGGCCCCCAGCCAAGCCCTGGCCTGCCCCCTTCCCCCCAGGACCGCACCTGTGAAATCGTGGAGGACGCGGAATCCGGCCGGACGGCCAAGAGAGTGAAGAAGCGCGTCTGCCTCGTCCTCGACTGCCTCTGCGCGCACGACTTCAGCGACAGGACCGCTGACCTGATCAACCTGCAGCACTACGTCATCAAGGAGAAGAGGCTCGGCGAGCGGGAGACCGTGCTCATCTTCTACGACGTGGTTCGCGTGGTGGAGGCCCTGCACCAGGTGAGGCTCCGCCCCTGCGGCTCCCACCCGCTCTTCATGGGAAGCCGCCCTTCTTGCTGCTGCTCAGCGGAAGCAGCTCTGTCCCACCCGCACCCAGGTGTGCTTTGCAGCTGGGAACATCCAGAAGGAAAGTGGCCAGATGACACACACACCTGAGGACACGGTGCTGCAGGCCTCAGCCCACGGCCCTGGGGAGGTGCGGGCAGCCCAGCAGAGCCCCGCGCACAAGTGCCCCAGCAGTCCAGAGGCTAAGTGGGAGATACCCACTGGGTGCAGCCACAGCCTGTCTCTGAGCTTTTCCTAGGGCTGGGGGTGTTGGGAACCCCGAGGCACAGGTTGGGAGAGCCTGGGCCTCCTCCAGACACGCAGCTTCTGTGGGCCGAGCCTGCCGTACTTGGTCATCGGAACCATGAGAATTCATCCCTGACCCCAGATCTAGGCAGGTGCTTGGGATTTTTTGGTTGCTTTTTGGTTCTTGGTTTTTTGGTGAGATGTTTGGTAGAGGCAGGGAGAGGAGTGGTTTTCTCCATTGGCTGCTGCCCTAAGGGGAGAAAGAGCTGGGGTAAACACCCTGTGTGGGGCAGAGACTGCCTGGGCTCGCACCTTACCCAGTTCGCCCGCGTGCATGGTTAACGAGGCCCTAAGTGGTCTGTATTTGTCTGTGGCTTGCAAGTCAAGGCCCAAGCCTGAAGAGACATGTCCTCCCCAACACCTGGAGAGCCCACCTCTTACAGGCTGGGCCCGACCCTGGCTCTCATCTTCACAGTGCAGACCATGTGCCTGTTGTTTTCCAGAAAAACATTGTGCACAGAGACCTGAAGCTTGGGAACATGGTGCTTAATAAGAGGTAAGCTTCACTTTTCTTCTTTCGTGATGTAACCTCGGGGTTGGGACAGGCTACGTGCTGCAACTACCCAGAGCCCTGCAGCATCCCCATGGGGATTCTGACTCATGGGGCCAGGGGATGGGATGCTTGCTTCTGTCTTTTGTCACATGGGAATATGGTGCTTGCTAAGAAGGGGAGCCTTAACGGCCACAGAAAGGGAGCTCTGGGAAGGATTTCAGCAGTCCCCCTGGTCCATTCATGTGTCATACCCAGTGGGTGCACAGTAGATGACTATAAAAAATAGACCGATAGGTGACAGAATGACAGATGAGCAAAACAGGCTTTGTCGTGGGTCAGGTTCCCAGGAAACGGACTCTGCGATGTACGTGCAAGAAGTTTACTGAGGCGCGCTCTCAGGGAGAAGGGGGCAGGATTGGGCTGAGGGAGAAGCTAAACTCTGGGCAGTCACGGCGGGGCCTCAGCCTGGAAAGCCAGGTGGCCCTTCAGATGCCCCAAATCAAGGCCGGGGGCACGTGGCCCTGTATCCCAACTGTGACCAGCCACTGAATGCAGGCTGCTCCCGGGGGCATAGCTTTGGGCAAGGCAGCTTCCTTTGGCTGAGAGGACTTCCTGGAAAAGGACACAGCTGTGAGTGGTCAGAAGCCGACACTCCCAGCAGCAGGGAGAGAGCACCTCGATATTGGAGGGGATCTGGGCGGCTCACCCCAGCATTTCTCGGTGAGCCAGTGGCAGAGGGAGATCACATGAGGCTCCTGCCTCAGGCTGTCACCCCACTCAGGCAGAGGGTCTGGGCCGCTTCTGAGTGATCTGGGGCAATGGTAGAGGGACACCAACCATGCAGGGTCCCAGGACCGATGGGAGGAGAGCCCACGCCGTGTGTCACCAAAAGATCCTAGAAATGCGGGGCCGGGAAGGGCCCACCTCCCTCACCCGCTCTCCCTGAGCCTCTCACCCTCACCTCTCTCTCGCCTCCCGGTGTGAAAGTGGGTCGGAGGGCTTGCAAGTGGCAGGCAGCACACGCCTCATGGCAGAAGTGGTGTGGTGGGGGATTTGTTCCATAATGTGGTTGCCCGCCCTCGGGGGGCCTGGGCCCACTATCCCTATGAAGTGGCCAAAGCCACACTGGTCACAGGAAAAGGAACTCTGGGGAGGGGCATGGGGCACCCGACCCTGCAGTGCCAGCCCAAGATGCCATTGGGAAGATGCTGCTGCCCCTCAGCACTCGGCATGTCCGCAGCCCCACCTGGCACTGGTGCTGCAGACAGTCTCCCAGAGCTTGCCACCTGGGGGCGACCAGAGGGCAGCTATCACTGTATGAGGGCCAATGTGCAGAGGATGGAGCGGGCAGAGACTCTGGCCATCTCAGTCAGTTCGTGAAGGATGAGTAAAGATTTGCCTGCTTGGGGCTTCCCTGGTGGCGCAGTGGTTGGGAGTCCCCCTGCCCATGCGGGGGGCGTGGATTTGTGCCCCGGTCCGGGAGGATCCCATGTGCCGTGGAGCGGCTGGGCCCGTGAGCCGTGGCCGCTGGGCCTGCGCGTCCGGAGCCTGTGCTCCACAGCGGGAGGGGCCGCAGCAGTGAGAGGCCCACGTACCGCAAAAAAAAAAAAAAAAAAAAAAAAGTGCAATGCGAAGGGGTTTTTTCTGAC